AAGTGGCATAAGAGCTCCCAGATGTCAAAGCTCAGTGCCCTAGATGAAAATCCAAAATGTCATTTACGTAAATGATATTTGGATTTTCAATACACCACGAAAAAATAAAAATAAATCTCTGAACTTTTGAACTTTTTTTTGTGATTTCCTGCCTCTTTGGAGCTAAAAGAGGCCACCCAAACACATGAGATATCAATGGAAAGCCCAAGATGTCCTCTATTTAGTACATCAGGACTTAGTAGGGAAGCTCAAATAAGTCAAAAGATATACATACAAAGATCTTATACAAAGATGTAAACAAATGTCCATTACAGAGGACATGAATGAATAGGCTAGTTCTCAGGAGGATATACTTGAGAAATGGTAATATGGGTTTTTAGCCTCGATTGACGGTAAAAATGATAATTTCACTCATCTAAAATTAACCTCCTAGGACCTGGTGTCCACATATGTGGACATCACATTTTGGGTTGTATAGACCAAAATACAAAATCTTGCTCTACAAGGACCTGATATCCACTTATGAGGACAGTATACTCTCACTGTTCTATCGAAATTGAAAACAATTGTCCCCATCTAAAAAAAAATATCAATCAGCCTAAAAAAGGAAAGAGAAATTAAAAATGCAAGCCATGAAAGAGTTCGGGTCTTAGGAGGTTTAACTCACAACCTGACTTGTTACAGGTTGTGGTGGGAGACTACAGCAGAGAGCCACAGAGCCTTTGGTAAATGGGCTGGATCACACATAGTGCTTTTCTACTCTACTTGAGGACTTAAAGCACTATATGCAACATGCCTCATTCATCCATCTAAGTGCTTTATGTCTAATATTCACATACATTGACACAACCAAGAAAACTTTCTGAATAGTAGGTGATCTGCTGCTCCATCTCCTTAGTGATAGCCACCTCTGACATAAAGCAACATATAAATATCACATTACTAAACAGCAAATTACGAATGAATCATGAATGTATACGTCAAGCATCCATTCTCACTTGAAACATTTCCACTGGCTTTGCTCCTCTTTATCACAAAATCGTCACCAATAAGTACTTTAAACGAAAAGACCGAAGTTTCTTTTGAAAGATGCTAAATTCAAGCAACGTTACGTTGTCTTAAATGTGTATCATTCTCTGCTCAATCATCTTATGCACCTTTCTCTCTCTTTCTGTCAAGTCTTGTTATTTTGCAACAGCTTTCAGTTCACATCCACCGTAGCCTAGAGCATCTGGGTGGGAGGTGCTTTTCATGACAAATGACCTCACAAATAACTGATAGAGAGAAAAAACAACAACATCCCACTCATCTCTCGCTGTCTCCATGACAGTCTGTGTCTGTCTCTCAACCGGTGTATATGTTTCTCCCACCCCGAGCATCCTCCCAGGTAGAGCGAGAAAGAGACATCTGTGACCATCAATCTTATCCACCAATATTTACCGTCTCCCGACACTTCATCTCAGAAACCCCTTTCCACTTGATGTCTGACTAAATTAGATTAAATGACTGCTTTGTCAACCTTCCCAAAGGAAAGAGAGAGAAACTCTAGAAAACTAATCTGGGTTCCAGTCACACACTGAAATTGAGGCGGGTGCTTTCATATTGTATAATAGCCAAAGCAATATTCCACACCAACTGTAGATCAGATTTCGTAGTTTAAATGAATAAATTATAATAAGGATGCATTCTATCATCGGTTTACATTTTGACTCTATGTACTGTTCTGCTTTCTTTTCTTTTATCGTAGGCCTTTTTTATATTTAAAAAACGAATCCCAAGGAACGTGTAAAGACAGACAACCCAATAGATTAGAGATTAAAATTAATTAATTTTGCCTGTTTGACACCTATCCCTGCCTGGCTGTTCTCTATGCCTTAAGGATCCTCTCTCCTGTTCCCCATTCACCCAGCAGTGATTCATGTTAGCAAGTAAACCAAAGTCAAGATAAAATGAAACAAGGAAATAAATAAAAAAAGGAACCATTCAGTGATCTGAATCAGAATCAGAAGACAAGGGGCAATTAACAGGTGACATAACCTGTTCAGTCAGAATAACTTCAACAAAATGCATATTTTGTGACTTTGCACTGGAATCCCATTAACTGGTTACTGGTTACTAGATCATTATCTATATAATGGGCAAAAAATAAATGAATAAATACTTTTGGTTACTCCTTCATATTTTTGATTTGGGAGATTTTATTCTTTCTCATGAAACCTCAGAAGGATTTGTGTGAACTCCCAGGACTGAAAGAGGGATCTCTCATTTGTTGATTTGACAGCCAAATAAGGTCAAAAAATAAATGAATAAAAAAACAAAATGCACCTTTCATTGCTACAATCATATGAAACAAGAAAATGGTGTAAACCAATGAAGGAGTGGAGATATGTAAATCAATTTTTCTTGCACAATAAGGGATATTTTGACAACTGCCCACTGCTAACATGAAATCAGCTGCTTTCAAACAACTGCAGTGACAACATGCTAACACACCGCTAGTAGTAAAGAAGCCTGGCTCCATCTAAAGTTTGACCTTCAACAGGTAACAAATGGGCAGCCAGGCTCGCAGCAGTCTGGGCTCCATTTCTCACCCCTGATTCTACAGCAGAATTGCTCTGACTTTGATTTTTCCCTGAAGTGATTTTTCCCTGAAGTGCTCTTTTGGGCTGGTTTTTACTAACTTTGCCAATGGCTCTGTTTGAATACTTAAAAATACTGGTGGTGGCCAGTTGTACCACTCAGCCTAGTGGTAGATACAAAATCTTAGGTGACTTCATTCTCCACTCATTGTATTCACAAGATTATGAGAAAACTTGTACTCTGATCTTGACCTTGAGGTCGAGGTCGCAGAGATACGAAATCATCTGAGATTTTTAGTAGATACAGCTATGATATCAATTTGAAACTCCAGTATTGCTTCGTTCTCGAGTAACCAATGGCAGGGTGAAGACAATACCTTATCAGCCTCGTACGGCTCAGGGGTAAAAAGTAAAAGAAAGACCTTGTGAGTCGCGTCATTATTACAGGGACCTCTGTCGTGTGGGACTGTAACTAAAGATTTATATTTTTACCTGAGAACTAATTACAGTATGACTTATTTATGTTTACCATTGTTGCACTCACAAATGATAATGTACATTAAAATTGACATTACAACTGCTGATCAATGGCGTGTTACGGTCATTTCAGCTTGTCATGCACCTCTTGACTTTTGTTACCTGGCAAGCACAGAGCAGCGCCAACGGGTTGGAGACATAAGTGTGCAAGCAGGTTGGCCTTTACCACTATTTCAATGATATATCAAGTCAGAAGCTCAGAAAGAACAAGACACTACAACAACTTAAAAAGGTTAGATTTTTACAACCACTTTTCTTTCTTTGTCAAATCTTACGCCATGCAGAGATTTTTCCGAGTTGTGACACGTATCGTCCAGAAGAAGACTGCAGTAAAGTAATATAAAGAGTGACGTAATGAACTACTTTCTACAAAAAGTTTCATAATGCACTACATTGGATAAGAGTAACAAGTACTGCATGATGCATCAGGTTTGTTTGATTAACGACCTCAGCACTGAAAGTCATCTAAAGTGAGCTTGACGATCTTTTCTGAATGCGAGTGCAAAGCCTTGAAGCTAAGAGGCCTATCGCCAGTGTATTTCCATGCTAAACTTAAAAGGCTGTAACACAGCCACAGAAACACTACGATACACAAACACTGACACTAACACACTCACAGTCACACAATAACACCCCATTTTTCACCCCCCACCATCCACCCCCACCCCTGTCACGCCTCCAACCAAATTAGATTGTGATTGCTCTTTCCGAGGTCACTTTTAATTAAACTGAGATGAGAACATGACACATGGGATTATGCCCCATCCTACCAATTCAAATTAAGAATTCATAACTAATGCTAGAGCCTATTGCTTTCAACCATGACCTCCATATCATTTATGTATAGGAGCAAAAGGAACTCCTCTAATTGTCTTCTTCTGAAGCGATAAAGAGTATGATGAGAGGGGAAGAGAACTGTGTGCGTCTGTTTGAATATGCATGTTTCCTAAAAATTACATTAAAAACATGCACCTTGTCTGTGCACCATAAATTAACACCGACTCGTACCAAGAGAAAGAGCGGGAGTGAAAGAAGTAAACCAATGAATACTTTCATATCTTCCCATCATGCTCAGGGCTTAACAAATAATACTTCAGTGGCCTTGAGAGGACTAACTCCAATAATTTCATCTGATCTGGTTAATAGAGACACACAGGGCTCACGTGAATTAGCAAAACATTCATTAAGCCTGGTAACATTGGTAGCGTCACAAGAGTAAACCCAATTCAAAATACCATTAATCACTTAACCGTGAAGAATGTAAGACAGATTCCTACTACATTTTTTTATTTGCTACTCATGTAACAACATAAAATCTATATCTATAGTTTGCATATTTAATTTGGTATTCCATCAAAGCATTCAGCTCTTCCAGACTTGCTAACATCTTTATATAAAGTCCTGTGAGGCTATTTAAAATGTAAGCTACCTGTTTAACATGCCATTCGCCAATTGAGAAAGGCTTAAACTATTGTTTGTAGAGGACTTTTTCTTTAAAGTAGCTCTCTCCTTTCAGTAAGACCTCAAAAGTCATAATGACTCAGTGGCTTTTGAAATTCCTCGCTCTTAATCTGCATCTAATTGGCATCCTTTCCATGCAGTATTAGAGAGGCATATGTCAGACATTTATGTCAGCCTTATCTGGATATCCGGGTGCATGTGCTGAAGGAGTGTAAACATGCCATTAGGGAACATACTTCAAAACTGGATGACAATTTGTCTTGTCAACGTGTGTGATCATCTCTGCTCTCCCTGGCAGTGAGTTTGAAATGTTCGTCCTGCTCCAGTAGTTCTGGTTCCACAAAACTTCTAAAATGCCATTACTGGTGTTGTTTACCTACTTTATTAACTGACAAACGAAGGCCCAAATCTAACTTATCTTACCTCGGTAATAAACGCTTTGGCCGTAGCTGGGCTCATGAACAACACAGCTCTGCGTAGTGTATCCCTATAGCGATGCAGCTCCTCCACACGCATTGTTCTGAACAGACTCGTGATCATCATGTTAATGTTGGATTCCACTTTCTGAAGGGATACATCCATCCCCTGCTGAGAAGTACTGTCAAGGAAATCCTCAATGCCACGGATATCTGGAAAAAAAAGATAGATAGAGGTGTAACTGTGCAGAACAGCAACCACATTCTTCTGAAAGCATCGTGCAGAAAAATGACACAGGACTGGACAGGACATAAATATCAAACAAATATTAGAGGCATCACTGATCACTTTACACCATATTCTCTCTTTCAGTTGACGGATTATCTCTCTGCAGGAATAGGTTTAGTAAATATCTCTATTTATAAGCTCTTACTGGTAAGCAATCCTCACTATCACTACATTTGTTCGACTCAAGATTTTATCCTTTGTGTTATTTGAGCTCAGTGTTTCATTGTCTGAAAAGCACACACTGTATGCTACTACTACATAGCTTTCTTTATGGAAATTTCAATGCTGAAAGCATGATATAGACACACACACACACAGAGACATAGATCAGAAATACATTAAATCAAAAGCATATTGCAATAGGTCATTAGAGGTGTGCTTTCTGGGTAGTACAGGCATACAATGATTATACTTTGTTTGTACTTATGATGAAGGACTAAAACATTAATAAGGTATAAACTAATAATATGTTTGCAAATAAACTCTAGACTAATAATAGACTTTTTAATATGAAATCACAATTTTTTAGGAGCCATTTCAAAACAAGTCCATCAAAATCTGTATTCCAAATATCTGGAACTGCAGATCTATGCATATGACACAGAACAATGGCTGCTCGAGTATCTGAATGTCCGATCTCTCACAGCAGATTTGGAGGTCTGTAGTTTGCAGGTAGAGCACTGATATATCATTCACAGCTGCTCATATACGAGGCACATAATATTCTTGGAAACAGCTCACATCAGGTCTCATTGATATTTAAGCTTTAATGTGAAAAAAAAATCACATTTTCATTCAACTTCAGTGTGATTTCCCCCAGATATGACACCACATACCAAATCTGAAATACTTTCATTAAATAGAGCAAGTTTCTGTCAGTGTTATGTCCAAAATTTGTAATGTTTTTCTGTCTCATTTTCTCAGTATGAATTTGATGGCAACCGAATGTCAGAAGCAGAGCAAGGTTTGTTTTTGAAAATATAAATTTTTCGAAATATATCATGCTGCTGTGTACCAGTCAAGCAGCAGCACAGCACACATAACAATTTGGAGAATGAATGAGCAAATTAATCTCATATTGGTCAAACCAGAACTTATGTAATCTTAAGGACAATAAATATCCCTGTATACATACTTCATTACTCTAGCCATGTTACGGGGGGAAAAAACAAAAATCTTGACCTTTAATCCGACAGTGATTTGTTGTCGTTTTCGATAGCTGTTAATACCTGTCCTAATAGAAGAGGAAACAGTAGCTAAAAAAATATTGCTGAATCCATGATACTGTCTCACCACTAAGAGAACCAATAAGTCATGTCATTATTAAGACTTTTCAATGAGAGCACTAACCACTGTAATTATCTCCATTAAACTTATTTTTGTGTGGTAACAGAACCACGATGGTAGTATGGATATTTTTACTGCCTCTTCTGTTCTTAATGGGATACATTCCAGGTCAAGGTAATCCTAATTAAGGTATTTTGGTTGAGGCCACTGCTAATGATGTCAAAGGATGTGTATGTGTGTGTAGTTATGTAACTACCTAATGATCTATTTGATATGGAAAACGGATGACACCGCCGTCATTGCCAGTGTCGCGGCAGAACAATTAACTGGATTGATTATTCTTGTTAAATCCCAGAGGGCTGGGGAGATGCTCTGATTTCATCAATGCCAATTTTAGGAGGTTTATAAAAGTATTAAGAGGAGAGAGAACAGCATTGATTCAGAAAAATATGGTATTTAGAAGTAAGACGAACATAATCCCTGTGCACACACACGCACGCACACAAGACAGAAATTATCACAATGAGTTCCTTGATTTGTCAATCTTTAAGTCGTTTAGCAATAGTAGGGTTACATGACAAGGAAAAATGTGACTTTTTTTTCTTTTTTGTGCAGCATACAATACATACAGTATGTGGGTGCAAGACTCCAGAGGACAACGGCTAAACAACAACTGTTTACGGTTTAGTTTTAAATTGGAAGAAAAAGCTTCTGCGTGAGTGTAAATGTGCATGCATGTAAATAAAACATTCATTAAATTACTGTGTCACTTTGGGTACTTAGTTGTGAGTGATGATGAGAAAACATTTATCTCCATCATCTATCTATATATTTAAGGCTGGAGAAACAAAATTAATTGTAGTGAAACAAACTAAGTTGTCAGCAGTTTGGCTAATCATAACTTTCAAGGCCAACCCTCCGATCTCCACTATTTAATTTAATTTAGTTGAATTGAGTTTTATATACTGTATAGTGCCAAATCACAACAACAGTCACCTTAAGGTGCTGTGATAAAGACCCTACCATAATAGACAAAAAACTCCAACAACCAAACAAGCCTTGATAAGGAACCACTTGGGGACAGACTCCCTTTAAAAACATGAGGAAACCTTTAGTAGAACCAGGCTCAGAAATGGGTGAAGAAGAAACACTCAGTGTATCATGGGAAATCCCAAGCAGCCTAGACTTATTATAGCGTAACTAAAAGAGGATTCAGGATCACCTGATCTATCCCCAACTATAAAATTGATGGAAAAGGACAATGTTAAGCCTAACTTTAAAAATGAAGGAGGTCTGAATTGAACCTGGGATCTGGTTACACATGCTAATAATCACAGTTACAGTTTTAAAAAAAAAGCTTTTGCCAACAGAACAAAGAGAAGTCTGTATCATAGCTATTTATTTGCATTTTTATGTTATAAATAATAGCTTGGGCCTGATCACGTGTCTGTCATGGTGTGCTGTTGTCTGCTCAAGGGTGGTGGGGCAATCTGCTTTTATTTGCCATCATCAATCCATTCTCCACCCTAGCTTATAATACAGGTTGTGTGTCTAATTCATTTGCCTTGCCCCATTCTGTGAGGACCTTAAAGAACTAACCTGACCCTCTCACTGCATGCAGGTCTTTCCAGCCCACAGGATTAAGCAAAACGAATATAAAAAAAAAACAATGAAATTATAATAAAAAATAAAACTTATACAACACTTTTTATGAATTACTAATAGTGACTGATTGTAATACAGTGAGAGAAATGGAAGACCAATGAAAACAAACCAACAGGCAAGTAAACATCCAAACAGATGAGCTAGAAAGCCCACTGGCTCATTCACTTTTAAACATACATGTCTTTGATGTCAAACTTTGCTTGAGTTCCTGCCTCCTGCTTCTCAGAGGACAAGGCTTGAGCGTGTACCTCGCCACTGCTGAGTGGATCATTGACTGTCAGCTACTTAACATCAAGGAGCTTAGGGACTCGACAGTAGAGAAAAAGAGGGGTAAAATTGCCACCAACCTTGCCAGCCCAGGCAACCATCTGTTTGAGAGACATCCCTCTGTGACACAGTACTGGTACATTAACACCATGATCAACCATCACCTCAAAAGTTTTCCCCAAAGGGCTGTCACCTTACGCAGTCACTCAGTGTATCCACACAGTCCCAGGCTAATTTAACTGAGATTACAGTATAACTGCTGTAACGTTAACCAGTGCAAGTCTTCCTAAAACACAATCTGTGTATTATTGACTTTCATATTATTGAAGAAAGACTGAAATGACATGAGGGTAAACAAAAGCTCCAGTCATGTCTCCACTGAGGATGAGAAGAACCTAATTGCATTCTTGGTGCACTTTTCCTTCTAGTTGCGAGGCTGTGCGTCACTGCCTTTCATGACTTCTTTCAGTGAAATGAAAAAAGGCATTTTGTGACGAGAGCTCATCAGCTGGAATGGCTTTAATAATATCGTATAAAACAAGGTCAAGGCTTGTATAGCAAAAGGTTCCGTGTGTGTCCCTGAACTACCATTTGTTAGGATTCCCTCCTTTTGCCCTCATCCCATCTATTCCCCAAGTCCCTGGCTCAAACTGAAAGCTAGAGTTAATGTAGTGTAGCCGCCAACAGCACACAGGGATTTCACCTGCATGTACCGAACAGCTCTGTGGTACTCTGTCTCTGCTCAGACGCTGCCACTATTTTCTCCCTTGCTTGCTTTCCCTCGATCCCTCTTGCTTTCGCTTAGTTTTTCATCTGAAACCTCTCTCTGTTTGCTTTCTGTTCTCTTGGGCTGAATTCTCATTTTGAGTGTTTGTGAAGTCCACGCTGTTATTCCACTCCGAGAGGCAGATTCTGTGCCGTGTCTAATGTCCATCAATTCCACACTGGAGACCAGTGTTTGCATTCTGCTAGATGGAAGTGATTTTTACTTTACCTATATAGCTGTAGCTGTTTTAACTTCCTCGACAATGTAGAATTAATATGAAATTAGACCAAAAAAAAAAACCCCTTTATATATACAAATAGCTTGGGCTTCTTAAAATTCTTAAAATCAAATTTGCAATTATTGATAAAAGTCCACCCTTTGGACAAGTTGGCATAATGTAAAAAGGACACATAGAATGTGAAAAGGAAGTGTTAGCACATGCGAGAAGGCTTCTCTGGGTGTAGAGAAAGTGTAACATCAAACACCTGCAAATGAGATTCAGCTGATGCAACACAATATCTGCCTTCTGAGTTACCCCATTCTCCCTATTTCACCTTTCTGACTTGAAACCCTTCTCCACCTTCATGTGAAAGAAAATACACAAGTTTGCAACTACTGACTACTCTGACTTTGTGCCTTTCCCTCCTCCTGCATTGTTTCATCAGCACTCTTCCAGCATGAGGCATTTAAAGCTTAAGTTGTTTGCATTTGTTTTGTTCCAGTTCTATTAGAAAATACCCAAACTTAAATTGTAAAAGATGATCCATCCATCCATCCATCCATCCCTCCATCCAAACAGCTTGATCAAGCTACCAGGTTTTTCTCCAATGATTTGTGCTTGCCCTACAGCCTGAAATGGCATTTGATTGCACATTGTCCACATTATAATATGAATTTTTTGAGGCCACAGAATCCATGCTAACATAAATGAGTTACCTT